CTTTCATTAACAAGTAACTAGTACGGTACCCGTGCGATGCACGGGAGCATTTATTACCTATTTGTTTTTTAAAAGGTATTTTTATATTTAAATGGACCCCACTTTATCGCACTTATATATTTTTTAACTTATTTATTTATTGGATGGATTTTTGTAATTTAATATTTTTTTTCTTATTTTTAGGATATTTGATTATTTTCTTGGACAACGTGACATTAAACGAAATTTCACCCGACTCAGTACGGGGTACCGCATACCAGTCCAAGTTGGGCGCAACACTTGCCTAAATTAAGATCCAAGGATGCATATATAAATCAAGGTCCAGTAGTGATTAATTGGGCCAAATCTTTCTTAATTTAATAATCATACTTGAAGAGACTTGAAATAATTACACTCACGGTTTTGCTATAGAGCCAACAGTTGGCTCCATAGTGAAGACAACCTTCTATATATATCAAATAAACCTACCATATTCTTTGATTACCTAAATAACACTAATATAATTTTATTAATATGGTAGGTTTATTTGATGTATATAGAAGGTTGGCTCCACTATGGAGCCAACTGTTGGCTCCATAACAAAACCGTTACGCAAATTAAACGGCATCAGGGGGCGGAGCATCATATACATATACTCGGGAGGAGGATTTATTTGGAGTAACCACTAAGGGTGGTGATTGTTTACCAATTTAATAAATAAATAAAAAACTAATCAAAACTTAAATTTAACTAAAATTTTAACCCAACTCCACTATCCTCAATCTATATATATAATAAGAATTACCATTTATCAAAAATAGTAAGTCAATCCTTGGTCAAAACTGGTCAACATTAATTACATGTCATTTATAGTATCTTTTTAAAATCTTTTTTAATAAAAAAATGGACAACATTAAATGTTGTCCTTAAAATGAGGCGTTTGTTACTTTTTTATTTTCAAAAAAGCGAGCTGCTATTTAAATTTGGTCTATTGAATATTTGCGATGATTTGACACGATGTGCATATCGAAAGCTGATAATGCACTGGCTGCATCAATTAAATTTGGTTATTGGTTACGAGAAGCTATTTTTAAATTTGAATAAAAATGTACATCACGACTGCTAATTCAATTAAATATCGGCCAATTATATTCTTCAAATTTAAAGCCAGATATTCGGCTAATACAACTGTTTTGCTTGGCAGCTTTTTTTTTAATAAAAAAATTAAGATTGATTTAATAACAAAAAAAATTATGTGTTATTTTTTCTAACCATAAAATATACTTTTTATTTTCAAAATACCGGAAACTTTTTTTTCTATAAAATCGGCTAACACATATGTTTTGATTAACAGATTTTATTTTAAAAAAAATTACGGCTAATTTAAGTGTACTCAATAACAAAGTGACAATCTTTTTTCCGAAAAATTCACTTGATTTTAATAACATCATGTTATCAAGCTGATCGACCTTTTGCACTGCTAATCATTCATCAGTGTAACCTGATAAGTGCTGGCCAATGCCTGATTTGATTATCTTTACAATTGAGCTAAACACAGCAATCATGATAATTTCACCACCGGAATATGGAGTAATGAGTTTGATTAAAAGTTAAAACCTTCAATCTAATGTTCAAAATAAACTGAAACTACTCCCCCTGATGACTTGATTAAAAGTTAAAACCCAGAATCTAATGGAGTAATGCCTGATGACTTCAAGATGTCGAAAATGTCTCCCCGCTCGCGCGCTTAGCCAACTGGAAACGAGTGTAGACTCAAGTTGTTGGATTATTCAGAACTCAGAACAGAATAGCCCGGCCTTCTGATTGAGATTTGGGCTGGTCCAACATGTAAAGCCCATTTTTGTATTGGGACTAAAAAACTTGGCTAGCCCAGCTCACTACAATATAAATACTAGTGGGTATTTGCGCGCGGGAGTTTTGAAAATTTGGTGACCGAGTGCCTTTGCATAGACGTGGCCAAAGGCCCAAAACTCGGTTCCGGGTTAAAATCGCCGGTTCCGAGTTGCTTGGTAGAAGACCTTGAACCGTTCCGTTTATATGTACGAGCCGATTTAGGTTTGGTTCCAGGCCAATTTTTAAAATTTTCGTTTTTTTTTTTTTTCGAACAGAGTCCTGCCGGTGGGTCGGGCAGATGCTGGCCGTTGGAGCTCAACGGTCAAATGATCAGACGACACGATTAAAAAATGTGACCATTGAGCAACCAGAAATTGAGTTTTGACACGGTCAACTAATTTTTTTTTAAAAAAAAAAGTAATAAGCAAAGGACGAAAACCTGGACCCGTATTTCGACCCAAAAATGATAGATTAAAAAACAAAATTAAGATTTGAAACTTGCCCGTTTGTAGCACGGGTCCGGTTCAATGGCCCCTGGATATGGGCCGACCCTGGCCATGTCTATCCTCGAATCTCAACTTATCCACACACTATCAACCTGCCATTCTTGGGAATATTAAAGAGAAGATTACCACATTTATTGTCAAGATCAATTTTATTTATACCAATACTCTAATTTTTATCTGGTTGGTAGTTGCTATTTGAACTGCTGCCGCACTTAGAACAGCAACGCCCCTTGACTCCTATTTTAATATTATCTACAATGCAATTTATAATTTATATTAAATAATTAAAATTTATTTCCATACTTTAATCACTTCTTTATAACTGCATCCAACTAGATAATTGAGTCGGACATTTCATGTTCAAAATCGTGGTTATTTAAGAAACAAGTTGGTGCGGCTCAATTTTTTAAATAAACAAACAATAATGTGAGTTTGAGTTCAACTCATATAAAATTGATTCGATTCATTTAGTAAACCACAAAACGCATAACCAAATCCAAAACTCTAACTGAGTTGATCGCGAAGACGTTCAACTATTTATTTGATAGATAATCTCAATTAAATATTTGAGTTTGAATCGTTTAAATATATAAGCGAGTCGAGCTCGAGTTTTGACAAATTAAATTAAATTATGTTAGCGAACAACTCGATTCGAATAACACGCACATTTTCAATCCCGAGTGAAAAAAATATTTTGACTACGCCCCTCTATATATACAAATACGTATACTTCAATACAAGCACATATATAGTATGTTTGGTTTATATAGCCGAACCCACATTACACATTTCAATTTCTTACAAATTTGAACAAATAATGAGAATTTGTACAAAATAATGAGTATATTTTTTTTTGGACAAAAAATAATGAGTATATTAGCTGGTCTCGTGAAATTTAATATTAGTTTCGTTTATCTATTCGTGTCAACCAATCCCATTAACTATCTAAATCTATTCCATTTTGTAGAACTAAATAACTAAATGTAAGTGGATTACAAAAAGAAAATATGGATTGCTTGCTATACATAGCATTTCGACATGACAATGGGTTGCCCAGGATTCGAACTCGGAACTAGTAGGAATCTATTCCATTTTGTAGAACTAAATAACTAAATGTAAGTGGATTACAAAAAGAAAATATGGATTGCTTGCTATACATAGCATTTCGACATGACAATGGGTTGCCCGGGATTCGAACCCGGAACTAGTAGGAGGGAGTAGATAATTTCTTTGTTTTATTCTGTTACTTAAATAAAGATAAAGAAAAACCCCTCCCCAAGTCGTGCCTGCCGTTTTCATTGCACACAGCTTTCCCTATGTATACATCATTTCCTTTCTTATCTTAGTCATAGAAAGACTTTCTTTGAAAAAAAGAATACTCAATTGATTTAACCCTTATTACATACTACATGAACATTTCAGAATAGTGGAATTCCGAGAGATCTGGGAAATCCAAATTTGGATATCATATCTAAATGTCAAATTAGACTTCTATATAATGTCTTTTTTATATAAAAAGGAAATAATACTCCCTGCAAACTGGAAGAAGCTTNAAAATGAAAAAAAAAAAAGAACCATGCCCCACATTGCAGCGCGGAAAAAGATTAGTACAGTAATAATACAGTTGCTAAAATGTACTAGAGACACATGCAATGTCATCCACCATCCCTCCACCAATCATATCTCAAACACGCTGGCCCATACAATTATAAATAAAATTAGATTTTGTGCACACTTCTCAAGACAATGTCCTTTTGTTTAATAGATATTGTAAACAAAATAAAATATTATATATGTTTTTTAAAAAAAATAGTTTGTAATTTGTTTATTAGTTTTCATGTATTATAAAATAAATAATAATGTTAGCATGCCATCTAATGATTATGCAATTATACTTCTTTGAACAAAATTTACATAATTTCATATTCAAATGCCATATATAAAAAACAATGTAAACAACATTATAACATTTTTGTAATCATACACTTTCAATAATAAATTTATATAAACATCAAACAATCTGATAGCAGAAATTATATAAAATAAATTTCCTCGCATATTGTTTTAAGTGGTTGATATGTGAAATAAATGTTCTCATGTAAATGTTTGCGGATATTTGTCAATTTGTGTAAAATAAAATAAGTATTTTAGATATTGTATGAGATTAGACAACAAATTATATGTGACGCAAATATTCCGCAAAATGTATTTAATTGGGGAATTATATAGCATATGGAATAAATGATTAAAATGGCGAATTTAATTAGACAATTATAAATATGGAATAAATTAAAATACGTGTATCATTTGCAAAAACGAAGAACATGTTTATTTATGAAAATTTTTAAAAAAAATTCAACATTTTAATTGAACCACTTTTTTTAATTCAACTTTAATTCAACTCCACTATCATAAATATTATTAATATAATTAAATAATATCAATCAATCATTCATACACACCACATCAACCTTAATTCACTATTCATCTACTCACATTATTTTTACTAACTTCCCTTCAAATCATCTCTTTCCTACTTTTACATCAAATCAATTTTAATTATTTTATATTAAATATTATATTAATATATTCACTAACAACTAATCATACACCTTCTTCAAATTTAACTAAACCAAACAAAAAAAATTCAAACAAAACTAAAAATTTCTATAAACAAACATGCTGGAAATCTCAAATTAGAAAATTGAAAAAGCAATGTGATTATGTGAATTGTGAAGCATATAAAACAATGTATTTACCTTCACCTGCACACAGCCATGTTTTAGCTGCCATAGCTCATCTCACCTCCGCCTAATCTCCGCCGCTCCTGACGGCCGATTTTTCCTCATTTTCAGTCAGCACTCACCACATTATTTTAAAGGTAATCCCATCCTTTCTGCATTTTCTCGTTTTTTCCGTTATTCCCTTTCTTTTTTCAGTTTTATGTTTGAATGGAAATCGCATTTGTGATTGATTTGTTTCGTTTCGGTCGAGGTATAGTAGCCGGATAGCGATGTTCGGAAGCGCAGAGATGTCGGTTGAGAGCTTTTTGCCTAATGGGAAATCGCCGGAGCATTTGTCCCCTGCGGATGGGGAATCTTTCGATCCAGCGGCGGTGGTGGCGGAGCCGGTCCCACCGGTGGTCGAATCAAACGGCAAGATTGGGGAGAAGGCACGGGAGATAGTCATGGGGAGGAACGTGCACACCACGTGCCTGGAGGTGACAGAGCCTGAAGCAGACGACGAGTTTACCGGCGATAAGGACGCGTACATGGCCAGTGTGCTGGCGAGGTACCGCAAGACGCTCATGGAACGTACCAAGCACCATTTAGGTATAATGTGTGTGTGTCTGTGTGTTGATTTATTTAGTGATCTGTGTTTTGGTGTTTATGGGTTTGAGGATTTGTGTCTTTTTTCGATTGATTTTAGGGTTTGATTTGTCAGTATGATACGTCGTGATGTGCTTTGAGCTGCATAAAAATTTGGTGCATGATTGCAAAAGGGTCTGACTTTTGTTTGGTGTTCCATCATCATTTCTCACTTGATTTATAAGAACGATGGGGAATTTATGTGGAATAATGCATACAAAACAGTCTAGGAGTGTGTTTTTTTGTATTGCTGACTCGAAAGAGTACTTGTTTTCTATCTTTGATTCAAACTCTAATGTGGACTATTTTATGGTGTTATGTGCAATGCTTGGCTTTCTTTATTATTTAGTGATAATGAGCTATATCGAAGTTGAGGCATATGTTGATGGACCAATGTTGACTATTTTGTACACTGTCTACTGACCCCTGTTTCCACATCTTAGTTGTTTGATCTGTGCTTTTAGATGCAACTTTATGATTGTAATGAGTGATTCTTTAGAATAGGTAGTAAGGCATCGAGAGGTGGGACTTTGTTTTGGATATTTATGTGAAAAAATGCATACAAAGTACCCAGGACCGTGTTATTTTGATGAATTATAAATTTGTGCTTCAGCTAATCAGCTTCTAAATGTTATCAATCTTTTGCTGAAGTATCTAGTTGAACTTGCTTTCATGTGACTTGGAGATTGTTTTCAGGATTTCATTGTGTCTGACTGTTACCTTTTCCATTTTCCACAGGATATCCATACAATTTGGACTTCGACTATGGTGCACTTTCCCAGTTGCAGCATTTCTCAATTAACAACCTCGGAGATCCTTTTATTGAGAGCAATTATGGCGTCCACTCGAGACAATTTGAATTGGGTGTTCTGGATTGGTTTGCCCGTCTTTGGGAAATCGAAAAGAATGATTACTGGGGATACATAACAAACTGTGGAACCGAGGGAAACCTTCACGGCATCCTTGTCGGGTAGTAACAGTATTATTTACTTTGTCATCTAGACGCTCCATTATCTATTGGCAGGTATTATTTTTGTAGGTAAATGAATTATAAATGTTTATTATTGTCCAATGGTACAGGAGAGTGGTGTTTCCTGATGGAATTTTATATGCTTCGAAAGAGTCCCATTACTCTTTGTTCAAAGCCGCAAGAATGTACCGAATGAGCTGCGTAAAAATTGCAACTTTGGTCACTGGAGAGATTGACTGCGCAGATTTTAAAAAGGCGCTTCTTTCTAACAAGGACAAACCAGCTATCATCAATGTCAACATTGGTAATTCTTTCTTCTCTGACTCTTCAGAGTGAGTTTGTAGTTTGTTCTGTCCATGAGCAATGTAACCTGCAAATATTGTGTATAATACACTTGGGATCACATTTCTAAAATCATCCTATTTATATAACCAAATTTGCAGGAACTACTGTGAAAGGGGCTGTCGATGATCTCGATCTTGTGATACAGACACTCGAGGAATGTGGATTTTCCCAAGATAGGTTTTACATCCATTGCGATGGCGCTCTGTTTGGGCTCATGATGCCCTTTGTTAAAAAGGTTTTCATTACTGCTCTAAGTTCTATTGAAAACAATTATCTCTCTATATAAAGGGGTTAGTTGAAAAAAAGGGCTTAAGGTGAAATTTGCTATTATTACAAATTGCACTCTAAATGCTAACCTAACAACCCATCTGCATTAACCAACTCCAGGCCCCAAAAGTCTCATTCAAGAAGCCCATCGGCAGTGTGAGTGTGTCGGGCCACAAGTTTGTGGGCTGCCCCATGCCATGTGGGGTCCAGCTCACGCGTCTCAACCACATCAATGCCCTCTCAAGTAACGTCGAGTATCTCGCCTCCCGAGATGCCACCATAATGGGCAGCCGCAATGGACATGCACCAATCTTCCTTTGGTACACTCTCAACCGTAAGGGCTACAAAGGCTTCCAGAAGGAGGTCCAGAAATGCCTTCGAAACGCGCATTACCTCAAAGACCGTCTCATTCAAGCCGGGATTAGTGCCATGCTCAACGAGCTCAGCAGCACTGTTGTTTTCGAGCGGCCGCGTGACGAGGAGTTCGTTCGCCGCTGGCAGCTGGCGTGTGAAGGGAACATGGCTCATGTGGTGGTGATGCCGAGCGTGACTGTTGATAAATTGGATTATTTTCTTAAGGAGTTGATTGAGGGGCGTTCGAGTTGGTATAAGGATGGGAGTGTCGAGCCGCCGTGCATGGCAGCAGATATCGGGAGTGAGAACTGTTGTTGTGCTGTTCACAAGTGATGCGTCGTTTTTCGTGACGAT